AATGTTTTAAGGCTTGATAATCCGGGACAGTGGTTAGGCTCCTTTTTAACTACTTTAAACGACAATTTTTAGTTTTTTATTTTTGATTCTAAGTAAGCTTTCGGGATTTCACATGGATTATGAATAAGAATTGCGTTCATCCTTTTTCATTTAAGGTGATTAAGGATTGGTAATCGAATTTTTCTACAATTACATGAATAGGCCTCATGTTTCCATTAATTTTCTCACAGCCTTTCTTCCCATCGTATAATTATCATCTGGTAAAGGTCTAGGCTCCCTTGGAAATATGAGGCCTGCTCATATCATCATGAGGAACTTCAACTACTAGTCTTTCATCACCTCAAACAAAATAGGATGAGCATAATTCTTATTTAAGATCTACTAGTGGTATAGAGAGACTACTTATAGACAAAAATAAGTAACACAGTCAATTGCTATATCAAATTCAACTTTGTCTCATCGGCAATCCCACCAAGAATTTCACTTTTTCTTTTTTGTCCGAGGGCACTCGTGATAATGTTGCGTAGCGGTTAATATGTCAAGAGTATACGTTGTACTATCACAATCTGGGTTCGAGTCCCGTGAAGGGTAAAGATTAGACCTAGGCGAGGTCAAAAAGGAACTCCACCTTGGATAGCAATAAATTTTGCGAATCAAGTCAATGTAAACATCAGTGGCAACTTGAGGCTCACTCATATCCAAATAGGAAAAACTTAATTATCATTTCTTTACCACCCTAAACGAAATAGGATAAACAAAAAGCTTGTGCTGGTTTTTACCTTTACGTAGACATGCCTTGGCAGACTTAATCTTAGCATGTTTTCAGAGGAAGCGAAGAAAATTGCCTCGGAGACAACATTAACATGAATGTTCCAGCAAAGTTAATCGATAACTAGTGGGATCAACCTTGGAATTTGTTCATGGAACACCTTCATTTGCAACGGAAGTGAGCCCAACAAATACGAGACTTAATACATTCTATAAAAGATAAGAGTGTCTTGCAAAAAATCTGTTTTGATGGTGGTGGCCGCATGAAAATAACCCACTACTTTCTAAAATCCTCCAAATAGTTGACTCGCTTTTCGTTCCCGATTTGGCACCAAATTCAGATTTACCAAAACTAACTCATTCCACAGCCAGTGAGAGACCGTTGTTGCGGCAACGCCATTCAACCGGCAGGACATTTGCACTTGTTTTAACACTTGGGTGGAAAGGAACCGTCAGTTTGTTGCGCTGGCACCCAAGCAAAGATTGTCACTGAGGGAATACTTTCTCTCGCGGCACCACTTCCCACACCAAAACCTTGCCGCACGATTTGGCACAAGGGACGGGGGGCCTGATGGCCTGCAATTTTTACGAGAGCCCCGGAAATCCAGCTCCAATGAATTCGACGTAGCACAAAATCTTGCTCTCTTTCGAGTGAACGCACAAAATTTGCCGCCTTTCTGGGCCTTCTCGCTTTCGCCGTTCCACACAATTCCGGCTAACTAGGCCTTTTTGGCCAACAAATAGAATGTTGCGCGACTTAACCATGAATCGTTCAGATCGGATCGATGACAGCATTCTTCATTGCAATGCCTACGCATGCGCTTGACGGTGACTTGGTGTGCTGTACACAAGCCTCCATAACAGGCCGTGCCAATCGATATTATTTTGGTATATCTTCTAAAATGAAGCCACCTGATTTGAATTGCAATACAGCGTTTGCGCTACTCTCATGCTTAAGTTGCCGGTGTCATTACAGGCTGAAGGCAAACAGGACTGTAGGCAGAGGTGAATTGCACTAACGTCCAACGCGACTGTGAGATTGACGCTTTGCCTAGTCGGATTGACCAATCGTAATGCGGCAACAGCGCCATCGCACTAGAGCACATTCACAGCCACCAAATCGACCTTGGCCTTGCACTTGACCATCTCAAAACGCCCCACAGCGCCTGTCGTCCCAGCTCAGCCCAGCTCAGCCC